TATTGTGTTTGGAGATGAGGTCTTTAAAGAGGTAATTAAGGTTGATGATGCCATAAATATGGGGCCCTCATTCAATGGGTCTGGTGATCTTATAAGAAGAAAAAGAGACAACCAAGGCCATGTCCACACAGAGAAGAAAGCCCACGTGAGGACAAAACAAGAAGTTAGTTTTCTGGAAGCCAAGGAAAGAGGCTTTAGAAGAAGAAACCAAATCTGCCAACACCTGATCTTGGACTTGCAGTCTTGTGAACTGTGCGAAAATGAATTTCTGTTGGCTGAGCCACCCAGCTCTTGTATTTTACCACTGCAGCCCCAGGTGACGAATATCTGGGGGCTGGAGTGTCCCATCTTCCTGTTTGTCACCTCTACTCCCAGGGTGGCTGCTATCTCCCGGGAAGCACAGCAGATGGCAGTGGCGTTCTGTGAGTCCGCACAGCCAGCTGCCTTGCAGGCCTTGGCTCTGGCTCTGGCTTAGCTAATGAAGGGCTAAGAGATGTACGCTTCAAGGTCCAGGCTTTTTTCATAGGAAAAATCAATAACTTTGCATTCAAATGTCCATATAAATATTCATCAAACTGGGCTTTAGAAAAGCAAATGAGATACTGTTTAAAAGGAGAAATAAGGAAAACATAATTCTCAGCATTTGATGTGCCTGCAGTCTCACTCCTTCTAGTTCAATGAGGGTTGATTGCTGTTTCATGCATCTAAGTTCGAGTCCGAACCCTCTCCATTACCCCCAGAGGTCTCTGTCTCTGAGGCTCCCTCACCTCACTTGCTGCTGAGGTCTGAGGTGTCAAAACTGAGCCTATGGCTGGCCAGCATCATATTGACACCAAGAACACTGTCATCTTCCAGTTGCCATATTTGGGCTGTTACCTCACTCAGCACAGTCACAGAACCCAAACTGCTCTCTGTTCGTAACGGGGCACAGGGGAGTGGAAACTTAACCGACTAGGCAGGCAGGTAGCACCTCCTCCTGCACGGCATTCCTATCAGGATGCTTCCTTACAAATTCACAGCAGGCAAGAGCAGACACAGAGACCCTGCCCTTCCCTGATGACTCCCATTCATCAGGGCTTACTTTCTGTGAGTTCACGCACGTGCATGCCTGTGTATGTGTGTGCTCGAGTTTCAATAAGCCAGGATGCTTTTAAAGGATCAAAATAATTTCCTCTGTGACATAATTACCAAAAATTAGACAGAAATTTCAAACCTTTACCTTTAAGCATTGGAAGTCATGTGTTCTAGGCAGTGTCTAGAGATGAACATAGAAATGACCAAGACTATGACAATAGATGAAAATATTAAATGAAAGCACTGTACTCAATACTCATAGCTGTCTGGACAGAGAACTAGCCCAGAGGAGCATCTCCAGCGGGCTGTTTAGTCCCGTGAAACTCTAAGGCAATTCAGCTTGGATATAAAAATGGGAAAAGTAATTCATATCTTGTCCACTGAGCAAAAATACTAAAATTATAAAACTTGCCTATGAGAAGTTGGAGCAATAAAGGAAGATAAAGTATTGTGGTCAAAATACATAGAAAGACATAAGCACGACTTTAGAGTATCTGGGGAAATAGTTGATTAGATGCTTGAAAGATAAACCTAATCTTTCAAAACATATTTGGTTTTGGCCAAAACTAGATCTACAGCGAATTCAGTAAAACATGTTTTCTGGAATTCTAATTCTCTGGAATATTAAGACTTCTTAAGAAAAAGCATTCTGTGTTCATTTGTTTGGGACATTATTATACTTTTAATTTTTGTAAATTGATGTTTTAACATCTACAAAATGATCACTGGCTGATCTCAAGTAAGCCCTAGCTCACCTAAAATACCTGGAGACTTTAGGTAACCCCAAACTATATTCTCTAATAGTCAAGTGAACATGTACTTCACAAGGACTTACTTTTAAAGTTAGCTAGCTAGTACTAAACTTGCTTAGCCTGCCTTGCCCATTTCTTTAGATGGAAAAAAGAAAAAAGAAAACAAACAAACAAAACAAAACAGTAAAGGCACTTGCCCAGTTTGCTCTCTCTTTCTGCCTTGTGATCTACCCTGGCACTTTCTGTGTGGCCCTATGTGGCATGAAATGTCCTCCCTAGGACACTATTCTATCTAATAAAGAGGGAATATGCTAATTAACCCTCACACCATCGCAAAGATGGCAGACCCCACAGCCAATAAGGAGGGACTATGCTAATCGACTGCCCCACCCTCAAAGATGGTGGTGTCTGCAGCTAATAAGGAGGGAATATGCTAAATGACTGCCCTGCCCTCAAAGACGATGGTGCACACAGCAACCAGATGGTGGCGCCCAGTCCCCTCAGCCTTGCTAAGGCTCTTACTTCCAGACCCCTCAGCCCCTCAACCTCTCAGAGCTGGCCCCAAGTGTAGGCAAGCCTCTGATGATGGCTGCCCAACTGCCCAGGGCCGCCTGAGGCTCAGGTAACAAGGGCCAACTGAGGCTTGTGCTGCCAGCAGTGGCAGCAGCAGAGGTGTGATGGGGGCATCACCTTCCCTTGATTGCCATGTCTCCTCCCACCCCTAAGGGCTCCTGTACTATGAAAGGGGGCAGGTCAGGCTGAGGGACTCCTGTCCTCTCCAATGCATGAATTTTCATGTGCCAGTCCTCTAGTGAGTGTAATAAAACTGCAAACCTATTTGTGGCTTCTCTCTGTGATCTGTGTTTGGCCTCACTCTATGTCATCCAATGTAATATGGCTCAATTGTGGATTAAGAAAAATTGAATATACTACTTTATTACAGCGGTCACAAAGATGTGAGTATGTAAATGTACATTCTAAGTTTCCAGTGTCAAACTTATTTGGCTTTGGGATCTATTTTTTAGCAGTATATCTTATAAACCAGCATTTCTAGGTTCCCCTCTGGGAGATACTATTCTAGAGAGATACTGATTATCTGTCTAGGCGACTTGGCATGTCAGTATTTCCTGAAGTAAAAAATGCACTGGTGTCATTGTGAAATGAAACCAATCATTATAGCCTAAGGAACTCAACTCTCATATGAAATTTAACCTGTATACTTTCTTTTCATTAAAGATTTGGCACAAAAACACTGCATGGCAATATCTGAATGCACTTCCATAGTTTGTGGGATCCATGTATTTAAAAATCCATTAATAACTTGGAATATATCTTTTGTGCACAAGACAAGTACTTATAGATGCCTCCTCTTGCATATTCATTAGGCATCTTCATCTCAAACTGTTCAAATGGAACACATTTTCACATTCCCATTCTATTTTCCTCAAGTGACATTTCCATGTACCCATTCTCTTACACCAGAAACCCAGGAACCTATCAGTGTCTACCTTGTCCCTTACACAGTACCACACAGCCCACTAATCACTTGGATTTAGCATGACTCCTGTCATATCTATGCTGTCCCTCTACAACATGGTCCAGATCTCATGGTCTTGTATCTCAGTCATTGTCATGAAGTCTAACTAGTCTCCCTTTTTCTAACCTGTCCCACTGCTTCTGGTCTTTCCTTCACACCGACATCACTATGATTTTCCTAAAGTACGAATGTGACTGTATTATTCTTTTTTAATAAGCCATCTGCCAATTGATTTGCCATTACGCTATACAAAATAAAGTCCAAATTCCTCACTCTGTCACACCATTTTTCTACTGTCTCATCCATGCTCTCTTTCCTAATCTACTCTGGATGTCCACCTCTAGCACAAGACACAACCCAGTCATATTAACCTGGCTTCTGTGCTTCCAACATGACCATGAGATGCTGTGGTGCTTTCTCACCTTTTACCTGGAATCACCTTACTCCCACATTGGCTACACTATTCATTCTTTCATCTACTCATCTTCAAGATCAAGCTCAAGAGTGTAAGAGTATCCTTCTCTATAATGAGTATCCTGGTCTCTTTCCTATTTTCCCCCACTAGGACTTTGGAGGGTTTTATACTTATTTGTCCACAATTGCTCCTTCCTACCAGATGGTAAATTCCTAGAGGTAAAAGATTGTGTGCTACCAATCTTACTAGTAAAATCTCCAAAGCCTCACAGAGCACTTGACACACTGAAAAACGTTTTATAAATGCTTTTTTTTTTTTTTTTTTTTTTTTTTTTTTTTTTTTTTTTTAGCAAAAGGGCATTCATTTCCTTTCATACATAAAATAATATAAACTATGTACTGTGTGTTCCTCAAATCATCCTGTAACAAATCAGTGAATTCTCCACTTTTTCCCCTCTGTCTCAAAACACCATCATTATGAATATTTTTGGATACCGAAAAGAATAATTCCCAATTTTGATTTTTCCTGAGTAAATATAGGCGCTTGGCAAGTGTCCAGAATAGCACTCTGAGAGACTCAAAGTCTTTCCAATCCCCCTCTTTCAGATCCTTAGGTGGCAAGGGCGGAGTGAAACCTTGCATCTGCTGTTTTTGAAAGAGCAGAGGACAGTGGAACCACTTGAGGCTTACAGGAGGGCACCGCCATCTCAACTCTGGACCAAGAAATAGGACTCCATGCTGAGACTCAAACACAGAGTTCTAGCCACTTGCATCCAAGAGTAGGAACAAAAAAGAAATATAAACATTTCCTTTCCTAAAGACAAACTTCTTGAATTAATCCGAAGTTAATTCTTGTGAGAGTTTTAGGAACTATTGTTGATTGTGATAAAAGGGTTATAAAAACAGAACAGTCAAGTTAACCAATTTTAGAAACCACTTCCATCTCCAGTTTTTCCCTTCCTATTTCCTTTCTGAATTGTTATAAGAAATAACAGTGCTTTCCAATAAAAAAGAAATATGTTTTCAAAAGAAACCCTTCCCCAATTGTTTTGATATCCTCTATACTTTTATGAAAACACTTTAGCCCTGTGGATACAAAAGGCTTATCGCCTGTTCTAATGACGTGTTGGGGGATATTGTCTGAGAATGAGTAAGGCTAGGCAGGAGGCAGTAAGGGAGAGGCTTTGAACTTGAAAGAAACAGAATAGAACTTTAGTACTTACAGCTGTCCTCCTCTTCAGTTATACATTTCACAACATAACAGGCGTAGATGAACCCTGCCAGCTGAAACAAAACAGAGGTGCTTTAGACAGGAGGCAAAGGCAGCAGGACTGGAGCACGCTGGGGGGAGTGGCTTTTAAAGGCAGGCAGTTTACCAAAACTGGTTTGGCTCAGTGGATAGAGCATCGGCCTGCGGACTGAAGGGTCTCAGGTTCGATTCCGGGCAAGGGCATATACTTAGGTTTCGGCACATCCCCAGTGCAGGGGTGTGCAAGAGGCAGTTGGTTGATGTTTCTAACTCTCTATCCATCTCTCTTCCTCTCTGTAAAAAATCAGTAAAATATATTAAAAAAAATAAATAAAGGCAGGCAGTTTACGACTAGGCCTAGTGTCCCAAGATGGTCCATCCGACAGGATCCTAACTCCAGCGTGGATTCCTGATGCCAGTGACATCTATCTGCCTGATAAAGAAATATTTTCCTCTGACCTGCAATTATGGGTAAGACTTGCTAATTTCCAGGCAATCTAAAACAAGTTATTGTAGATGCAGGAAAAGGAAAAAGAAATTATGGCCACTCATTAATGCAATAACATTTGCATGTGTGCCGATCAACTTCTAATTGACTTGCATGAGTCACTGACTAGCATAAAAATGTTTTCAGGGAAAATAGTAAGGAGAGTCCATGATTTGCATGAAGACTCTATCAGTTAAAAGACCTCTGAGTTAGACCTCGACCAGGAACTGGGCAGACCAAGTATAATTAGGATGAGATGGACACCCATGGGTAAGGAGTATCCTAATGCACTAACGCAAGGACTCACACATCACGTTGTCCTTTCTGAAGCATACCACACAAAGGACCCCATGGGCAGGCAAGTCTTCACTGACTGAAATGGGTCCCTGCCCAGGAGCATGGCAAAGCTTTTGTAATGAAATGCAGCAGGATTTACTTTTCTATCAAAGCAGCTCCCTTGATAGTTAAAGAATGCAACCAAATACAATTAAAAGATCACTGGTAAGCAGAATACAGTGCCTTCCCTGAATTCTGGGAGAGTAGTGCAGTGATATCTCAGAGTGAGGAATTTGGACTTTATTTTGTATAGTAGTGAGAGATATCCATGATATCTCTCCCTAAGATTGTATTCCCTCATCTCCGTCTATTTATTTTGTCAACATATGAGTACTGCTGGAAGGAAGCAAACTAATATCCTAACTGCTAAGTGGAAAAAAATGATTCAGTTTAATAATCTTTAAAAGTATGTCCTCAGAATGGTGATGATGAAGATTATTCACGGTGGCATTTCAGAAAAGCGTTGAGCCCTGACCCCCCCAGGACAGCATTTGGTGCGGGGAAGGGAAGGGACCCTAGGTAAGGCTGCAGCCTCTCATCCGAAGCCGAGGGACAGGCCGCCCTGAGTGATAAGTCTATTGAAGATCTCGTATTAGCTGGCAGCGATCCTTCTGGAAGATGTGAGCGGAGGATTTTAAGACGGACGGGATGCTGATGGTTATGTAATGAGCACAGAACTATTTGGAGACAAAGGGGATCCAGTTAAAGGAAACTTTAGAAAATCTCTAATTTGGGGTTGAAGGAGAAAAAGCTTGATGCGATAGAATCAAACTCTCTTCCAAAGAAAACGGGCAGAAGCAGTGACCTGCTCCCGGAGGAATGGATGGAAGAAAAGACTGGGAAATATATTCTTCAAGGGCTTTTGTTTGCAGATCCTGGATGAGAGGGAATGTGTACTCCCCTCCCCGCCATTGCGACCCCCAAATGCAGTATTTAAACAGGTGCAGTGCACAGAATAAACAGCTAAATAAGGATACCACTGATGTTGTATTAGCAGAGTTAGTTTTCTTAAAAAAAATCATCAATCAGCATTTTTTCATTGAATTATATGTTGCTATTGGCAATAAAAGAGTGATAGTAAGAACTATTTTCTTATGTAATAGGATCATCAGGATCATTGCTTTTATGGGACTGATTTTTCAAGTACAGGGAATTATTAAAAACCACTGTCTCCCATTTGATTTTATCGAAAATTTTGATTTGACCAAACAAAGTCATATGGTGATTTAAGCATTTTCACGTGTACTGGAAAAATAGATTATACTAACAATTCTTCTTCTTCTTCTTCTTCTTCTTCTTCTTCTTCTTCTTCTTCTTCTTCTTATTCTTCTTCTTCTTCTTCTTTTTTTACAGAGAGGAAGAGAGAAAGATAGAGAGCCAGAAACATCGACGAGAGAGAAATATCCATCAGCTGCCTCCTGCACACCTCGTATTGGGGATGTGCCCATAACCAAAGTATGTGCCCTTGAACGGAATTGAACCTGGGACCCCTCAGTCAGCAGGCTGATGCTCTATCCACTGAGCCAAACTGGTTTTGGCATACTAACACTTCTTAATCTTTTATCCACCAGGACTCATAAAAATGCTCTCATCATTGTGTGGCCTGGCCCCATGATACTCTCTCATTGGTACTTGGATATGATTGTAGCCAGGTAAAGAGGCAACAGTTTGATTAAATGCCCCGGTCATGTCTATAGCTCCTCCCCTTCCTCCACATGAAGTCCTTACCATCCATGGCTCATTGCTACAGATTTATTAATAATTTATCTCTTCTTTTCAGTTTTTAATACTTGTTACTTGAATTATCTATAAAACTTTTTCTTCTTGCAAAAATCACAAATTTTCTTTAGATTCTTACTATTTCATCACTTTTGGATATAAAAATGAAGGTAAGCAACATTGATAGATTCAGGGCCAAAAAAGTTTAAATTTCCATTAAGCTCCTAGATTATTAACTGCACTACTCTCCCAGAATTCAGGGAAGGCACTGTATTCTGCTTACCAGTGATCTTTTAATTGTATTTGGTTGCATTCTTTAACTATCAAGGGAGCTGCTTTGATAGAAAAGTAAATCCTGCTGCATTTCATTACAAAAGCTTGCTGATTAAGAGAACTTTTAAATTGGTCTCCTCTAAATACAAATGAAAATTTGTTTTTTCCAAACTAATCAAGATTCATAAACCTCTGTTATCTTCTAATTTTCCTACACCATATAAATTTCCAATTAATTTTTACTCCAGCACGGTGATTTATAAAACTCACCCACAGAAGAGGGGTTTCAAATCATTTCTGACAACTCTGTCTCCTAAAATGTGCAACTCTGCTAGTTTGCTACCTGGGCTGCAAAGATGAACTAAGCCAGGATTTCCAACCTCAGCAACATTGATATTTTGGGTTAAGCAATATTTTGTGAGGTCTCTTGTGCGTTATAGAATGTTTAGTAATATCCTACCATCAAGACAGATGACATTTGGGACAATAAAAAATGTCAGCAGAAATGCCATATATCCCTTAAAGGGCAAAATCTCCCCCGGTTAGAGCCACTGTTTTGGATACAATCCCATCCTAAAGGAATTTGCAATCGTGTAGCAAAGATACTCAGGTTAATTGTAATTTGAAGTAAATTGAGGTAAGTGTCAGAAGGAAAGAAGGAAATTGAATGTCTACTAAGTGACAAACAAACAAAAAAATTAAATGTCTACTAAATGATTACTAAAAAAGTATGATTTTTTCATGGAATACAAATGCTTCCTAATGTTATACTTAGCTCCCCTTCTAGCCTCATTTTTCGCCACTCCTAGTCTCAAAACTGATGCCTGCAGTAAGCTGTTTGGTGGTTTGCTGACATACATCAGGTGGTTTTCCTCCTCTGTTCTTTAACTCATTAACCCATTCTGCCAACAAAGCATGTGAATGCCCTACACATCCTCCCTCCCCTGCCTGTCCAGCCTTGCTCTTTTGAACAATTCTAACTCATCCTTAAGACTGAATTCAACTGCTGTCTCCCCCAAGAGCTGGCAATTAATTATCAGGGTAAGGTGTAGGTTGGCACTTTGGAGATAAACCTCAAGAGATGGAAGGACTTTGAGAGAGGAAAGGAGAAGACATCTTCCAAGCAGATCTCAGAAAAGCTCTGGGAAGGTGGTAATTATTATTCAGGGAGGAGCAAGTGGCCTAGTGCCTAGAAGTTTGGGTGCTGTGAAGAGTAGTGATGGTGCCCAAAGCAAACAGTGGTTTACGTTGCCATAGTAAATCTGAGAACCTGGAGTTAAAATACAATTATTTATTTGTTCCTTTTTAAAAGGTGGCTAGAATTATAATGAAAGATACTGTGCTGGCAAATATACAATTATTCACTTTGAAAAACTCAAAGTATTCCAGTTGTTTTAACCTTTGGCATTCAAAGCTGAGCTAAGCCTAAATCTATTTCTTTTTTATTAATTTGTTCACCTTGATACATCTAATATGATTTGTACACTTCTAATTCACCTGATAGGTAATTACATATTATCTTGATATCATTACTGGCTGTTAGGATATATTTTCTCTCTGTAACTAAATCAGGTTGAAATACTTTTTTAAAAAAAAATCTACAAACCAAATTATGATGGTATGTCCCAGAAATTCACTTAGAAGCTAATAGATAAGAGGTTATTAAAGTCTATTGGTAAGTATTTTAAAAGATTCAATTAAAGTAATTGGAAGTATAATATATCAACCTTAGTGTCTAAAATTCTATCATTTGGACTTCTGTTTCCAGGAAGTTGGAATCAATGTACTTTTCTGTAACTCCCCCACTAAATACAACTAAAACCCTTGGGCGTTATATACACTGAGTGGTCAGATTATTATGATCTCTGAAAGGTGCATGAATTCGTGCATTGGTGGGGTCTGGTTGGCCTGGCCAGGAGGAGGGGACATGGGCGGTTGGCCGGCCTGCCTGCTGGTTGAACTCCTGGTCAAGGGGACAATTTGCATATTAGCCTTTTATTATATAGGATATACATTTAGTGGCCAGATTATTATGCGTTCAGAGATCATAATAATCTGGCCACTCAGTGTATATAACAAATGTAGGAATAATCTGGAAGGCAGAAAGAAGGTAGGTTGGCTAGGAATCTTGAAACCCAAGGAGGGACTACCAAAAGTTTATATACTGTATGATTATATTTTTAGAATATTTTTGACATGAAAAAAATTATAAAAATGAGG